CCCCTACCCCCCCTGAGAATGGGTTGGAGCCGCCTTCGGCCTTCCTTGAGGGTGGCCTTTTGCCGCCCGTTGGAAGGCCGTTGTTCTTTTCGCACGGGGTCCGTTGGAGGGGGCTCCTTTGGAGGACGAAGAAGGGGGTTTACTACAAACACGGGATGACGGGGGGCCCCCTCGAGGGGTGGATGGTGCAAAACCGTTACGCCTGGGGGCGGGACCCGACGGCCCCGGTGTACATGGTTTTTTGGAAGGGCACGTTTTTCCTCACCGGGTTGGCTTACGCCGTGGAGGATTAGATTTGGGACCCGCTCGCCGTGGGGCAAAAAAGCCTTTTTTGGGGCACCCCCCTTTTCCGGGGGGGGTTCACGGGCGGGGTGCAGGGTTTTTTAATAACCTTGGCCCTGGGGTTCCCCTTTGAGGAGAAGAAACCGGGGGATTTGGGGGCCCCCCCCCCCCCCCCCCCACCCACCCCCCGCGGCTTAGGCCACCGAGCTTGCCCTCCTCACGGCGGTGGCCTAAGCCTCAGCCTGCCCGCCTCAGCCTGTCCGCCTCAGCCTGCCCGCCTCAGCCTGCCCGCCTCACCGCCTCACCGCCGCACCGCCTCACCGCCTCACCGCCTCACCGCCGCACCGCCGCACCGCCTCACCGCCTCACCGCCTCACAGCGGAGGCGCGGCCGGTAGGCGTCCGCTTCATGTGCGTCTCGTCGGTGGTGCTCTCCGCGCGGCTGGCCTTCATCACCAACCGCTGGATCACGTGGGCGGAGCTCTTCCGGCCCGACGAGGAGCAAGACGGCGCGGGAGGGGCGCGGGGCATGGGGTGCTGCACTCGCCGCACGGCGGCTGGGTGGCGCGACGCGGCGCGTCGGCTTGCGCGGTGGTCGCTGCGCGCGCTGCACACGCGCGCTGGCCACTGGCTGCCCTGCCTCCTCTTCACCTACTGCCAGACGCGCTGGTGCCACGTGCCGACCATCCCCGTCGTCGCGCTCGCCGGCGGTGTGGCGCTGGTGTGCGTGCTGAGTGACTGCCTCGTCTTCCCGCGCTATGGCCCCGTGCGGTGCGCGCTCGAGGCGCTGTGCGCGCTTGCGTCCCGGCCCACGCGGTGGTGGTGGGCCAAGGCGGCGCCGGTTGAGCTGCAGAAACTCTCAGCCAAGAAACAGTGACACTGTGACTGACCTCGATCGTACGACGATGTTATTGTCTGTCTGTTGGCGCCTCAAGCTGGTGTGTGTCTTCGTGGCTCCCTGTTTCCCAGCCATCCTTAGCACGGATGGCTGCGAAACAGGGAGCGCAGCCATCCAAGGTGCAGATTTCGAGGTTAGCCGTCTCTCTGGCGGAGGCCATGGACTGGTGCAAAAGAGAAAGGAAGAATAGATTTCCGAGGACCCCCGAGGCGCGAGGGAGGGATGGGAGATAAAGGCACAGGTCGCAACGCGCCACAGCATGTGTGCCAGTCGCGTGCCAGTCCTGTGGCCCAGGTGTGCGTGAAGATTTTGCAATTCTTTCGCAGGAGTCGCTTTTAGTTAGTTAGGCGGCTCCCGTGGTGTACCTGTGTTAGTGCCAGTGCGCGCCAGTCCCGTGCCTAAAAAGAAAGAAAACGGAC